ACTCTATGTCAACTCTACTTCTGCACTTTAAAAGTGATGGACGCGTTCGAAGGGCTTTTGATGGGCTGTCCTGTAAAATATCGGCTTCTGTTATTACTCACATCATTACTTGAGCTGGCTAAAAATGAATCTGCTTTGCCCGAGGTATTTTTTTTTGAATGCTTTTATTTTTCTCTTCTCGGTGGCAAGGAAAGGATCTCTTTGGGGAGGCATTAATTACAGAGCACTTTGAAAAATTGGTTCAGTGAAGGCTGGGAGAGCTCCCCAGAGCCTTGGTCAGGGCTCTGAGAAGTGGGTGTGCCCTTGGAGCTCTCTGGGCAAAGATCTCCAGGCTATTTCCACTAGAAATTACTCTTCAGAGTGTTAAAGCAGCTCGTATGTGTTATTCAAAGTCAGAGCCAAGTTCGAGATGCTTATTTGACCTCACTGACCCTCAGCAATTCCCGGCTACTAACCGGAGTCCAGCCTTGTGCACCTTTGACCGAGATGATATTCTCCTGAGATTTTCTACCCAAAGTGAAACTGTGAAAGCTTAAAGGCATCCATGGGGAGTCCTCAGCGAGGACTGCTGTACAGATGTGGCCACGGCCAGCATTACCATCCCAGTTTTCCTAACTAACTGTCTCCAGAGAAATACTTAGAAATGACAAGGACACTCGGGGCATCTGTCAGGGCTGTTTTTGCTTTCATCTCTCAAAGAGTGGCAATGACCTCAACTTACAGTGATCTCACCCCCTCTGCTAGGCTCCAACACATTTGATTTCGACCCCGCATTTGGGCCTAAGTGCGGGCTGCCCAGCTTCCAGGCTGTTTGGGGGCAGACAGGTTGTAAGCTACTGGAGAGCAGGGTCTACAGTGTCCCCTTACCCTGTTCTGGGCCTCTCTTGGTGATACCAGCTTGGCGGCGTTCGGTCGAAGTCTGTTTTGATGCCGTGTTGTACTGACATTGTAAATCTCTTCATCTGCCCTCCAGACTAGCCTGTTATTCTTGGAGAACGTGAACCACAAACTATTGCTCCCTCTCTCTGCAGTGCCTGGTGTGGGGCCCAAGCCCCCAAATGACTTTAAACTGCAGATTGAGCAGATTCAAACTCCAGTGAAACTGCTGCATGGCATGTCAGAGGTGGTAGCTCCCGCTCCAAGATGACCTTATCCTCCCTTCCCCTCCAGAAGGAGCATTTTGGGTCACTCTGCGCTTCTGGATGCTCAGAATAAGTAAAAGAATGAAGCATTATAGGGAGGTGGTTCCGGACAAAGAGGTCGCCTATCTGGGGTCAGATCCTGGTCCCGCCACCTACTGGCAGGGTCCTCAGACATGTTGCTGAATCTTCTGGAAACTTCGTTTCCTTGTGTGGAAGATAGAAATAATGGTCGTACTCTGGTCGAACACCGGGTGGGTGTTCACTGGGTCAGTGTCTGCAGAGTGTTCGGCATGGTGCTGGGGTGGAGATAAACCTCCCATAAGGGATAGTGGTTACTACTGCTGTAAATGAAGAGCGTTAGGACATGGGCGCGAGGTCTCCAAGGACAGCCAGGTGACAGATTTATACTGGATGCTTACCGTGACCTAAGCATTGTCCCGGGCCTTCAGGCTACAGTGGTGACATAGGTTGGTTCTGTCCCAAAGAGTCTGTTGCACATTAACCAAATACGGTTTCCTCACTTTACTCTGGGGACCCTGGCCCGTGTCCTGCAGGAGGACACTGGGGTAGATGCAGAGTATTTGATGGAGGAAAGGGACGACAGTGGCTGCGGAGTGTGGGCTGCTTCCCAAGACCCCAGCGGTGATGTTTGCGGCATGTTTCACGACCAGTTGCAGTCCCCAGGACTGCGCTGGACAATCATTAACCATCTTTAAATCCACCAGTGCCTGCAGCCACATAGAAAAGCCCACGTCAGAAGGACCCGGATCGTAAATCATGGGCTGCAATTCACATTGTCTGCTGTTCGACTGGAAACCAGAACTCATATTTGAGGACTCTTGTTTGTTTTCTCTGTCTGTGGCATCTTGATATGTCCGACATTTCCTTATCAACTGATATGAAGAAGGTCTCTGGGGACTACCAGCTACTCGAGAGGGAGACTGTGCTTATCTCCGGGATCCCTTGTAATCTCCCAAGTGAATGTCACGTAGTCACTATCTGAAGTGTGGCCACCCCAAATATACTTTCTAAATTGGGGAGAAATCACAGCAGGCATTTCACGAGGTCTGGAAACAAGCGGGCACAAAGGTGTTTCATTTATGTCGGTTTGATGTGTAGGGCCTCTGGTTGGCATCACTTGGTTTTCTTTGATTCTAATCCACCCTTCCCCTTTCATCTTGCCCTCCTCCTCCTGCTTCTGTGCCCCACTCTCCTTCAAATACACAGCGATTCTCGATTTCCCAGAAGGTTGAAGAAGGCGATAGTCATTGACAAAGCGTCAAAACCTTTACCAAAAAGTACAGCGAGCGTCTCTTCCAGTCATTAATAATTTCTATCGCTATTCAGGACAAATGACTTTTATTTGGGGTTGAGAATATAGTTCATTTTCAAAACAACAGCATAAATGACATATCAATGCTCAACCCTCCACTGTGCAGTGTTTAATTCTGGCCATTAGTGGAAGGACAGATGGAAAGCAGAGTTCTTCTGATTTTCTGGGGCTTCTACTGATACATAAGAGTTAAGGAGTAAAACTCCTTCACAGTTTGCTTACTGTCTTTACTCCCCCCACCCCCATGTGATCAAACTCCCATCATGCTTGCTATCTCATAACATTTTGTGGCAAGTTCAGTGTCCTTCTCAATGCAGAAATGCTACGTGACCTTGTATAATTGGGGTCCTTCACATAATATGTGTACCATACATAATTGCTCTAACCACGTACCTTATTTAATTGGAAACCAGGAACCTCTGAGCTATCTAACGACATCACATGACATTTATTAATTTCTGCCTATTTGCTTAGTTGCCAATTGCTAAACTTGTCCTAAACCTTGACGAGGAAAGGAAATGCTGAGTAGGCATGTACCAATAGAGTTATTCAAGCAATAAGAGAAATATCGAATGAAATGAAATCTGTAATGAATGAAATCTATACAAACACAAAGCCTGGTACCAAAGGTGATCTTTACTAAGTACCAGCAGCACTTTACTGTGAAGGTGGGACAGTCTCCTGGGCTCCAAATAGCCTCCAGGTAGGGTGTAAGCAGAGCAGCAGGCAGAAGGTGCCAGAAGACGGGGTGTAGTGAGTGACTAACAAAACCTGTACTGAGACAGACTGGTGGCTAGCCATGTGATCTGGGGCAAGTTATCTAGTATTGTGGGGCCTCCATTGTGGTGGCCACTGGTCACATGTGCTATTGAGTTCTTGTCCTATATGGTGGCCACTGGTCACATGTGCTAAAGATTTGTCATCTTTAAAAAGGGGAGCCAAAATTAGTCCCCATACCATAGGGCAGTGCTGGGTTTAAATGAGATAATTCCAATGATGCACTCAGCACAGTACTCAGCTCATACAGTGTACTCAGTAAAGGAAGGATAAATGCTTTTCTAATAATTAGAACCAGTTAAAGATGACATGGGCCTCCTTGGGGGTGGGGTAATGAGTTCCTTGCCACTAGAAATATTCAAGGGGAGGCAATATGCTCAGAGTTTTTTGTTCAAAGTAATCATCTGAGAAGAATGTTAAAATTCACTTTCTGATTTGTATAGGTTTTGGGTGGGGCCTGAGAGTCTGCATTTCTAAGGAACCCCAGGTGATGCTGATACTGCAAGTGACCTCTCTTGATAGCTAGGAGCTGACTGTTCCTGGGGGGATGCTGGAGAAGGTATGTGATAATCCAAATGGAGCAATGAGCCAGACTTCTTGTCCTATATGGTGGCCACTGGTCACATGTGCTATGGAGCATTCGAAATGTGGCTGAGTCCAAATTCAGATGTACTATGAGTGTAAAGTACACAAAAACAGTATATATATATATATAAAAGAATATAAATATCTCAGTCTTTTTATATGATTCCATGCTGAAGTGATATTTTGGACATATTAGGTTGAATAACATATCAAAATTAGTTTCACCTGTTCCTTTTTACTTTTTATTGTTGTTATTATTATAACTATGTCTATTAGAAGATTTAAAATGACCTCTGTGGCTCACATTTCATTTCTATTGGGCAGCACTGAGCAGATCATCTCTAAGTTCCCTCTGGAACACGGGCACCCAGGGATCCATGGCTAGGATGGACGTCGAAGCTGATGTCCACCTGTGTCCACGTGAGCGTCCCCTGGGGAATGTGTGTGGCCTGTTTCCTCCCACCGCTTGGGGGGTCTCTGGTCTCCTGTCTGCCTGGGGCGGGGAGTCTGGGTGTCGTCTGCAGTTCTCGCTCTCTCAGCCTCTCTCAGAACCAAGAGGAGACACAATGATGTGTCTCTACAGGGATAATTTTTACCTTGAAAATGGGATTTCTTGAAACTGCCTCTCTGGAGGAAAGTAGACTTTGTCTTCAGCCCAGAGCCCCTCACTGAATTTCCATGTCGTCACCCAAAGTAAAAATGGCTGCCTAGGGGCGGCGTTTCCTTAGGGGTTTGGGCTTTTAGGAACCCAGCGGGCAGAGGCCCTGGCAAAGCGCTTGGATACAGGGCCGTCCCCTGGCGGGTCGGCTGGTGGATCTGGCTTGAGTGCACCTGACAGTCTGGGGAAGTGAGGCCTGTCACCCTCCAAGTGCTGGGTTACTCAGATGGGGGATTGAATGTCACAGGCCGGGGTTAATTCAGGCCCCATGTTGAAGACTTTTAACACCATGTCTCATCTCTGCTACCCATGTCCAGTCCCCATTTTTATTTTTTATTTTTGCAGTTGCATGGTTTTTGCATGTGTCAAAGTGAAACTGGAATGTGAAAACCACCTGCTAATGTCATCTCTGCCATTTCCATCTTTCCAGGTTTGTCCATATTGGCAGCCGGATGGGAGGTTCTGATTTTTGCACGAGTAACACGATGAAAACCTTCTCACGTGACTTTAAAAAGCCATTTCGTTGCATGAGACCCAGCAGAGTGAGTAGGTAGGAGTTTGAATCCAGTTCCTACTCCTCTCTGGCTGGGGGCCTCAGACAAGTGATTCGAGTTCTCTGTGCCTTGGTTTCCTTACCGGTAAACTAGGGAGGACAATAATATCTACCTCCCACCTTGGTTGAGCTGTGGTGAGAATGACTGTCAATTTGCGTAAAGGGCTGAGAATAGTTCCCAGCGCCTAGAAACACATGCTGCCTGTTATTTTGGGCTAATAAGGGCTCCCTGAATGGCAGCCTCTATTTCAGCTGGTAAGTTACTTAGAAAACCCCCCAATTGCACACCTGGTTGAGTAAGAGTCAGGTCCTGTGTGGCGATGATGTAATGTACCTATTTTTGGCAGACTTGGCAATTCAGGGAGCGACCCATTTCCCTCCACTTCATGGAGGTCATTGCAATGGGTTTCATCAACCAGCAGGCTTGGAAGTGAGCCAGAAGGTTAGAAAGAGCCTTTTTTTTTTTTTTTTTTCTCATTTTGGACTTC